GGATGGCAGAGTAAGACCCTGTCCCAAAAAATAAATAAATAAGTCAAATGCCCTTTTTAAAGAAAGAAAAGAAAATGTAAAAATAGGGCCAGGTGTCCTGGCTCATCAAGCCTATAATCCTAGTAATTTGGGAGACTGAGGCAGGAGGATTCCCTGAGGCCAGTAGTTCTAGACCAGCCTGGACAACATAGTGAGACCTCCATCTCTACAAAAAAAATTTTAAAAAAGTTAACCAGGCATAGTGGCACATGCTTGTAGTCCCAGCTAAGAAGACTGAAATGGGAGAATCACTTGAGTCTGGGAGTTTGAGGTTACTGTGAGCTACGATCACCCTACTGCAGCCTGGCCTGGGTGATAAAGTAAGACCCTATCTCAGGAAACAGAAAGAAAAAAAGAAACTTAAATTTAAAGAATTTTTTTAAGTGTTCTAAATTAGGTCGGGCAAGGTGGCACACACCTATAATCCCAGCCCTCTGAGAGGTTAAGGCAGGTGGACTGCTTGAGCTCACAAGTTCAAGACCAGCCTGAGCAAAAGCGAGACCCTGTCTCTACTAAAAATAGAAAAACTGATGCAAAAGGATTGCTTGAGCCCAAGAATTGGAGGTTGCTGTGAGCTATGATGCCACAGCACTCTACCCAGGGCGACAGCTTGAGACTATCTCAAAAAATAAATAAATATATAAAGTGTTCTAAATTTATGACCTTCTACATTTTAAGAGTGAGCCCCTAGTAGTTTTAAAAATAATAAACGCAATTAATCTTTCCTTTAAGGAAAAGGCAAAATAAATCACATGTGTAGAGATAATGTTGTGAAGAGAACCTCTGAAAACAGTTATCTGGAAATATTTCCAAGATTCCATTGTTGCCAATAAAGATACAGCCTATTAAAAGGACAAGTAAGCTCGGTGCCTATGGCTCAAGCCGCTAAGGCGCCAGCCACATATACCTGAGCTGGAGGGTTCAAATCCAGCCCGGGCCCGCCAAACAATGATGATGGCTGCAATCAAAAAATAGCCGGGCGTTGTGACAGGTGCCTATGGTCCCAGCTACTAGGGAGGCAGAGGCAGGAGAATCGCTTGAGCCCAGGAGTTGGAGGTTGCTGTGAGCTGTGATGCCACAGCACTCTACCCAGGCGACAGCTTGAGGCTTGGTCTCAAAAAAATAAATAAATAAAATAAAAAATAAATAAAAGGACAAGTACTTTATGATCGCACTTATATACAGAATCTGAAATAGTTAAACTCACAGAGTAGAGAGGAGAATGGTGAATGCCAGGGGTTGGGGGTTTGGGGAAATGGGAAGATGAGAGTTAAAGGCATAAAGTTTCAATTGTGCAGGCCAGGCGTGATTCACACCTGTAATCCCAGCACTTAGGGAGGCTGAGCTGGTAGTATCACTGCCTGGGCAACACAGTGAGGCCATGTCTCTACAAATAATAATAATAAAGTTTTAGTTAAGATAAATAAGTTCTGAAGATCTGCTACACAGTATAGGGCAATCTGTTAAGAAGGTAGATCTTATGTTAAGTGTTCTTACCACAAAAAAAGGTCAAAATAGTCACAGAAATTTAAGCAGCAGGGGAGGTGACGGCTGTGTGTGTGGCCGTGATGGTGGTGATGGTTTCATGGTGTATAATTACCCCAAACTCAATAAAATGTAACACTAAATATGTATAGCTCTTTGCATGCCAATTATACTTTAATTACATAATTAGTGGTGCACACCTCTGTAGTCCCAACTACTTGAGAGGATGCTTGAATTCTGGAGTTCAAGGCCAACCTGGAAAACACAGCAGGACTCTGTGTCTTTAAAAAAAAAAAAAAAAAAAAAAGACAACATTATTTGCACACTTTAAAACTTGCAGACAGAATTTCCCTGTGTTAAATATCAGCCAGATGAAGAGTTCTAGAAGAATCTGTCTCATCCTTCTGTACATTATTCATTCGACACCTGGTATCACCTCCACTCCCCTTTCTCACCCTGCCCTCCCCAGCCTCTCAGCACAGAATAGGAACAATAACTATTAGCTTTGTTAGTGTGCTGGAAGCAGCCTGGAAGAGCAGCTAAACCACAAGGAAATAGTAGAAGGAATTTGCACTTTTAAGGTCCAACTAAAATGATTCTAAAGAGAAATTCTGTCTCTTTAGAGAGATGCTATCCACATCTTCTGGTTATAAGCTGTGTCCTTAGATTTTTATTTTGAAAATACTATTCATTTTGGAGAACCTGAGTACTAAAGAATCTTTTAAATATGTTCCTTAGAATTGCATTAACTACATCCTTCAACATGATACTATCTTAACTCAGTGGATGTTTTTAATTTTTTTTTGTTTTGTTGTTGCAGTTTGGCCAGGGCCATTTTTGAGCCCACCACCCTCGGTATATGGGGCTGGCACCCTGCCCGCTGAGCCACAGGCGCTGCCCTCAGGGGGTGTTTTTAATCTTGTAAACGCCATATGTTTTCTAATTCATTTTATAATTTTTATGTAATAGTCTCCTGCAGTATGCTATTTTTGTTTTTAATGTGCCCCTTCCCCATCATCTTGGTTTTAAGGATAACACATTTTTGGCTAAAAAAAAAGATGAGTACTTATGTGTTAAAAAAGACTTCCCCAAAATTATATATGTATGATATTAACAACAAGCTTCATCTCTTTCTCCCATTCCTTTTTTTTTTTTTTTTGAGACAGTCTCACTATGTCACCCTCAGTAGAGTGCTATGGTGTCACAGCTCACAGCAACCTCAAACTCTTGGGCTTAAGTGATAATCTTGCCTCAGCCTCCCAAGTAGCTGGGACTACAGGCATCGCCACAACACCTGGCTATTTTTTGTTGCAATTGTCATCGTTGTTTTAGCAATCCCAGGCTGGGTTCAAACCTACCACCCTCAGTATATGTGGCTGGTGCCATAACCACTGTGCTAAAGGCGCCGGGTCACTTTCTCTCATTCTTTTTCTTTTTTTTTTTTTTTTTGCAGTTTTTGGCCGGGGCCAGGTTTGAACCGGCAACCTCCAGTATATGGGGCCTGCGCCCTACTCCTTGAGCCACAGGCGCTGCTCTGACTTTCTCACATTCTTGAAAGTAGTTTACCTCTCGGCATGAAATACCCTGATCACCCTCAAGGCCAAGATTGTTCCAGTGAACCACATACAACTCATTTTTCCTTTTCTCTGCCTATCTCTACTCCCTTTTAACCCCCAGGCTCCCTCCCACATTTACCATTTTGAATGACCCAAATTTCAGAGCCGCCATTGGCACCATTGACCTTGTCTAGTCCAGAGTAGTGTTTTCTGCCCCAACAGATACCACTGTTGGACTTCTTCCCCCACCTCCAAAATATGTTTTAATGACAGTAGAGCCTGTATTGATTAGCTGTAGATATCATTGATTTCCATGACTCATTGGGAATTCTGTGGTGGTTTCTCTTAAGAGTCAGGAGGAAGCCAAGTGCAGTAGTTCAAGCCCGAAATCCTAGCCCTGTGGGAGGCTCAGGCAAGAGGATTGCTTGAGACTAGTTGAGCAAGAGCAAGACCCTGTCTCTACTAAAACAGAAAAATTAGCCAGCATTGTGGCAGATGCCTGGAATCTCATCTACTCAGGAGACTCAGGCAAGAGGATTGCTTAAGACTAGTTGAGCAAGAGCATTACCGCATCTCTACTAAAACAGAAAAATTAACCAGCATTCTGGCAGATGCCTGGAATCCCATCTACTCAGGAGGCTGAGACAGGAGGATCACTTGAACCCAGGAGTTTGAGGTTGCTGTGAGCTAGGCTGATGCCATGGCACTCTACCCATGGAGACAGAGTGAGACTCAGTCTCCAAAAAAAAATAAATTTTTTTAAGAGTTCAGAGGAAACTACAGAAAAGATACCTTAGATAAGATTTTTCTATCTGATAACTTGAAGCTTGTGTGATATTCACACTGAGAGATTTTTAAGATCCAAGAAGCATGCTGAGATTTTAAATGTTAACAGATTCACATAGGTTTCTCACTTACATCATCATAATTTATTGAGCACTCTGGTTGTGCCAGGCACTGTGATAAGCATTTCACATAGGTGACCTCATTGCGTTCTCACAAAATCCCTACGACTGAAGATTGCCCACATCACATAGAGGCAACGCATGGTGGCCCAGGCAGATGGCATATCCTTCCCAGGCACACACAGTGGCAGATATGGAGTTTGGTCCCAGGTGGTCTAACTCCTAAACCTTTGCATTAAAATCTCTGCCTATGGGCTTGGCGCCTGTGGCTCAAGCGGCTAAGGCACCAACCACATACACTTAAGGTGGCGGGTTCAAATCCCTAGCCCGGGCCCGCCAAACACCAATGATGGCTGCAACCAAAAAATGGCCGGGCATTGTGGCGGGCGCCTGTGGTCCCAGCTACTTGGGAGGCGGAGGCAGGAGACTCGCTTGAGCCCAGGAGTTGGAGGTTGCTGTGAGCATGATGCCATGGCACTCTACCCAGGGGGAATAGCTTGAGGCTCCATCTCAAAAAAAAAAAAAATCTCTGCTTATGGCCAGGCGCAGTGGCTCACGCCTGTAATCCTTGCACTCTGGAAGGCCCAGGCAGGTTGAGCTCAGAAGTGTGAGACCCCTATTCTCTACTAAAAACAGAAAAACTAGCCGGGTGTAGTGGCACATGCCTGCACTCCCAGCTACTCGGGAAGCTGAGACAAGAAGATTGCTCAAACTCAAGAGTTTGAGGTGGTTGTGAGTGACAATGATGCCACAGCACTCTGTCAAGGGTGACAGAGTGAGACTCTGTCTCAAAAATATAACAATAATAATAATTAACTAACTTAAATAAAATTTATATCGCATATCAACACCTCATTTCTAGCTTTCTAAAACGAGTTGGCAATTTGAAAATTACCTAAAAAAAATAGTCTGTTGCTGGACAGGGCCTTTATAGTACCTTGATCTGTTTGAAATTTGCAATGTTTTCTGTGTCTCTGGATGATAATTTAAACATTTACTGTACTTTAATTTGCAGGCCCAAGAAGTTAATATTAAAAACTTTCAAACAATACTGGTTCGTTTTTAAAGACACATCTATAGCCTACTATAAAAATGAGGAGCTTGAACACGGAGAGCCAGTAGAAAAACTAAACCTTAGAGGTAAGAGGACTCCACGTCTTGCTGATGATGGCAACATGCCTGCTAACTGAAGCGAGGTTTGCTTCTGGAGGAATCATTAGCCGTCTGTGTTTCCTGCATGCAGCCTGCTTGCAGATCCTCTGCTTTAGGGAGCGTGGACCTCGTTGCAGTCCAGTGAATGTGGTCACTCGCATTCTGCTGCCCCATCTCGCTCGGTGTGACCAGAGTCAGGGATGTGGTGGTGATAACTGATACCCATAAATGTAGCACATATGCCATACATTGTACAACCCTGAAAAGCTTCCTGAACTCAGAAACAGTTACGTTTATTTCAGCATCATTTTGCTGTCTATTCTAATTTCTGAAAGTCACCGTAAGCATACTGGTAACTCTCTATTAATTGAAATATTTAATTAAGCAATGCATTCAACTGTCATCATTGTGGCCATTAGATAACTCCCTCTGCTTTGATTTAGTTTAACATTCATATTCATAATTGTTCCTTTGAGTTAGGATAGCCAACATCAACGTGAAATATGAATTCAACTGATTTATTTAAGAAAATTATAAGAGAGGACCAGGCACAGTGGCTCATTCCTGTAATCCTAGCACTCCAGGAGGCTGAGGTGGGAGGATAAGTTAAGCTGAGGAGTTTGAAACCAGCCTAAGCAAAAGCAAGATCCATCTCTATTGGTGGTGCCCATAGTGGGTAGGGTGCCAGCCACATACACCAAAGCTGGTGGGTTCAAGCCCAGCCCGGGCCAGCTAGAACAACAATGACAACAATAACAAAAAAATGGCCAGGTGTTATGGTGGGTGCCTATAGTCCCAGTTACTTGGGAGGCTGAGGCAAGAGAATCACTTGGTCCCAGGAGTTTGAGGTTGCTGTGAGCTATGACACCATTGCACTCTACACCAGGGTAAAAGCTTGAGACTCTGTCTCAAAAAAAAAAAAAAATCCATCTCTATTAAAAATAGAAAAAGTAGGCAGGCGATGTGGCCGGTGCCTATTCCAGCTACCCAGGAGTCTGAGGCAAGAGGATCATTTGAACCCAGGAGTTTGAGGTTGCTGTGAGCTATGATGATGCCACTGCACTCTACTTGGGGCAACAGAGTGAGACTCTGTCTCAAAAAAAAAAAAATCATTTGTCTTTATCTGTGTTAATTGTTCATATATCTTACTTGGTTATCTTTTAATGACTGTTACCTGCTTGCTCCTTCATTTTTCAGAAAAGAAGCGAATCGGGGTGGGGGGTTGTGTTCAAAGTCTATTTCATACGCACACTTGATATTTACCTAACAAATTCCTCAGCGCCCAGTCCCCTCTCTGTCTTCTGCCTTTCAGGCTGTGAAGTTGTGCCAGATGTAAATGTAGCAGGGGGAAAATTTGGAATCAAGTTACTGATCCCTGTTGCCGATGGTATGAATGAAGTTTATTTGAGATGTGACCACGTAAGTAAAACCAGAAAAATGTGAAATCCCTTCGCCCTCATGAAGCCTAAAGAGCAAAACCTACAAGGTGTTTTCTAAAATTAGAGCTCTGTTGTGTCAGCCAGCTGGTTTTTTGCAACAATCACAAAGTAACAACATCCCAATGGCATTCAACAACAAACACTTGTTTTTGAAAGATGCCCAGATGAGCTGGGAGTGGAATGATCTAGGCCGTTGTCGGCTGGTCAGATCTGCCCTGAGACCCAAGTTTCTCAAGACCTTGCCACAGGTTGACTTGATTTTATTTATTCTGGATCCCAGGCTGCCTGGGGGAAACTTCTCCTAGTGATGGCAGGTGAGCAAAAGGACAACTAAAGCCTGGGCTTGAAATTGACATGCTGTCACCTGCACCCACATCCATTGGGCAAAGCAGATCACATGACTCAGCTTGATGCCAAGGGCCTGGAATTGCATTCTGTCTCTTGTAACTGCAGTTACAAGGCAAAGAGTGTGGATCCTGGATCCTGGGAGTGTGACGATCAAGGCCAGTAATTCAGTGTACTGTTGGGCTGTTGAATTCCCCCTCCTATTCACTCCTTAAGCTCAAAAATGAGCACAGACCTTAAAGAACCAAAGAAACCACTACTAACTTGTTCAGTTCCCATAATGGCCCTGATGGCTACTTTTAAATTGGAATCTTTACTAAGCATAGTAAAGCACATGAGTAATACAGAAAATCAGTTAATGATTTCTTTTCACTATTTTCTTTTGTCACTGAGATCAGATGTGATATTAAACTGGAACCAAGAGCCAAGGAAGGCTCCCCGGTAGCTGGGGCTTCACCTGTCTGTGCTTCATGGCACTCTTTGGCGTCCCTGGATCATCTTTAAATGCAAAGTTCTCTGCGTGGAATCTGTGAAAGCCAGAATTCCCTATCCTTTCGATGCCCCTTAGCATCTACAAACTCAGCACGGGTCTCTAAGGTTACTGTCAGGTGTTACATTAGGTGGCTAACAGGCGTTCAGAACACGCGCCACTTCACAGTCTTTCCTCTGCTTGGAAGGTGATCGTTTTCCACTGTCATGGAGAAGAAAGCCCAGGCCTGCTGTTTAGAGTGGGGGGGTGCACTTGAGCTTGCTTCTCAGCCCATGGGTCTTGCTGCAGGAGAACCAATATGCCAAATGGATGGCTGCCTGCATCTTGGCATCAAAGGGCAAAACCATGGCAGACAGCTCCTACCAGCCAGAGGTCGTCAACATCCTTTCATTTCTGAGGATGAAAAACAGGAACGTGGCATCTCAGGTGGCTTCAAGTCTCGAAAGCATGGACATGAACCCAGAATGTTTTGTGTCACCTCGATGTACAAAGAAACACAAGTCTAAGCAGGTACTGCTAATCTTTCTGGGCAATGGCTTACAGTAGAGTCTGTATGTTCTGAAGTAAAAGGATGAATTCATCTGATTAATGCCATCATCATGAAAAACTGCTTGACAGAGAAAGTTGACTGAGTATTAGATGATGTTATGAAATTATTGTTAATATTGTTAGAGGTGACTGTACTTGCTGACTAGATGTGGTGATATACCCAGATTGAAGTTAATTATGAAAAAATTACTTAGTTCCCACAAATTGAAAATTAAAATGAGCCTTCCATAGGAGTGGGTCAAAAGTTGCACAGATAGACTGAGCTCTCCATGGACACTCCATGGATCTCAAAAAGAAGGACCCCAGAGCTCTCCATCTGCAACCTTAGAAGCTTTGGGGGTTGCTGTTGTTGTTTGTTTGTTTGTTTTTGAGAAAGAATTTTACTTTGTCACCCTCAGTAAAGTGTTGTGGCATCATAGCTCACAGCAACCTCAAACTCTTGGGCTCAAGCCATTCTCTTTCCTTAGCCTCCCAAGTAGCTGGGACTACAGGCACCTGCCACAACACCCGGCTATTTTTAGAGATGGGGTCGCTCTAGCTCAGGCTGATCTCAAACCTGTGAGCTCAGGCACATAGCCACAGCCTCCCAGAGTGCTAGGATGACAGGGGTGAGCCAACTCACCTGGCCTAACCTTAGAAGTTTTTGCATTGGTGGATCTCATTCCTAGAATTTTTATGTCTTGTAGAACGAGAGAGAGAATGAATGAATGGGAATGAATTGTCTTAGAACTGTAGTCAGGCCTTGCATTTATTGTTGTCTTTGGGGGTTTGAGGCTAATGGGACGATTACAGGGCACTGATTCTTGGTGCACACTGAGAAAAGTCTGATGTCTCTCTTTTCTGCTTAGCTGGCAGCCCGGATCCTGGAAGCTCACCAGAACGTGGCCCAAATGCCCCTGGTCGAAGCCAAACTGCGGTTCATCCAGGCGTGGCAGTCCCTGCCTGAATTCGGCCTCACCTACTACCTCGTCAGGTGAGACAGTACTCTCTTCCCTCTCTCACTTTCTGTTCAAACGTGAGTGGCTTTCTGGGAACCCAGTTTATTCTCAATTAGCATCGAATATAGAACCTTTATTTTAGAATACTGCCCTTTCCAAAGTGACCCGCTCTGGGCTACTCACAGAAATTTTCCACGCCTTCTTTCCACATGGCAATGCCCCTTGAAATTCAGCTAAATGGGAAAGGAAATTTTGAAAGGAGATTTGGTTCTTATAGGATAACTCCCTTTGTAAAGCCAAAGGGACAGTGTCACCTCTTTACTTCATATCAGCATACTCCCTGCTGTGGTTCTCATGCTGTGTCTCATGGTACGGCCTTGCGGAATTGTTTAGGTTTCTAGAAAGGTCCCCACAAACCTCGTGTCTTACCTGCAGCCAACTTCATCAGGTGGCTAGTACCAGGGTATTCCTCACAGGAGGCCTATCTATTACCCACTTCTGAAACATAGAAAAATAGCTTAAGTGACTTGTGCAAGTTCACCTCCTGGTCGGGGGCATGCCTTGGCGTAGAGTCCCGTGTCCTCACTGTAATCGGCACCCAGCATGTTTCTGCCCCACCATCTATAATGAATGGTTTCTGCAAATGTGTCCACAAGTGTGCTGGTAAATCAAATTACACCTTCCAGTGCCATAAGGAAGGTGGCTGGTACCAGGGTACCAGCGATGTTTAAGCACAATCTAAACTTAACCCCGCAGTGTGGTGAGTCCTCTGTGTCACTTTCTCATTTTCTAACTTGGAGGTTGGAAGACTGCTTTGTATTTTAAAACAATGACTTACTGGAAAATAGAGTTTTCTTAGCTCTTTTCAAAGACTCGGCTTCTTCAGCCCCTTCTAGCAGTGGACACTACTCACTGAAACAACTCCTTTACATCTGCCCCCAGTGTTTGTCTTTTTTTTTTTCTTTTTCTTTTTTTTTCTTTAAGACAGAGTCTCATTATGTCACCCGCAATAGAGCACTGTGGCATCACAGCTTACAGCAACCTCAAACTCTTGGGCTTAAGCGATTCTCTTGCCTCAGCCTCCCAAGTAGCTGGGACAATAGGCGCCCACCACAAGGCCCAGCTATTTTGTGGTTGTAGTTGGCCCAGGCTGGATTCGAACCCGCCAGCTCCATGTATGTGGCTGGTGCCCTAGCCCCTGAGCTACAGGTGCCGAGCCCCAGTGTTTGTCTTAAACAAGCAACTCCACCTGCTTAACTCACCCCAGCAAAAAAAGGAAGGCGAGTGAAGCTGCACTGGACGCCCAGTTATGCACATGGACCTGTGTGGGTGTGTACACACACACACTCACACACACACACCCATAACTCAGAAGTCAGCCCGCACGCTGGAGAACATAGACACTTGCACCAACCCAGGTCTGGCTTCCAGGCCCACCCCTGCCTCTAGCTGTGTGACCTACGGCATTGTCACCCACCTCACCACGCCTCAGCTCCTGAGTTTGTTCGGAGAGCATTTGGAACCTACTTGGTGGAGAGAATCCAGTGAAACAATGCAAAGGAAGTGCCTGATAAATTGTGAAGAGTGGTGCGGGCCCTGAACAGACTTCCACGCCACTTACTCCTGTACCCCATGGCCCTTTTGCCAGCTGTCTCCCCCTGTGCTTCCCTCCCCTCCAGCATCTGTTCATGCATAGAGGTGAAGCTTTGAGGCAGCAGCCCTGGGTGTGACCTTTTCCAAGGCCAGTCAGAGACAGCAGCTGGGGCAGTCCCCTGTGTGCAGGGGGACAGGCAGAGCCAGGATCTGCCCACACCTAAGAAACCTGGGTCTCCATGTCATGCCTCCCCAGATTCTAGAGAGCAGCCCAGGGAACCCTGATGCATCAGAGAGAAGCAGGTGGAGCAAGAAAGCTACACTGGCCACTTTGTGCTATTAAACGTTAAGGTGGTGGAATGAATGAATAATAAAAGGTACGGGACTGATTCCAGAAAAGTCCAGGAAACGTTCATCATATGAAAGTCACATGTGAAAGGGGTGAGAGTGATGTGGAAAGTGGCCTATTCAGCTGGGAATTTTTCTTCTCCAATTATACTTTTCTCTCTCCCGCAACCGTATTGTCACATCAGTGTCCTCCACTCACATCCCCCTTCAGTTGCTGTCCCTGTTCTGGGCCCCTCTTCACAGCAGAACTTGTTGAGTGTGGTGTACCCCCCGCTGTCCCTCCTTCTTTCCATTCTGAGTCTACCCCAATCGGGGTTTTCCCTCTCCACACTCCCCTGCCCTTGTCACTGGCTTTCATCAAGGTCACCCACCAGTCACCTGTGGCCTTCATAGTGCTGACTTCATAGGTCAGCTTTTGCCAGCTGACCTCTCTACAGCATTTGGCACGGTGAGCCCCCCCCTGCTCCTGACTCACTTGCATCACTTGCCTTCCTGGCTTCCCCCGCTGTCAGGGGCCAGTCCTTTGCTGGTTCTTTCTCAACCTTTCCAACTTCTTATGATGCTGGAGGGCACGGGCCTCAGCTCTCAACCTAGACTCATTTTCCTCTCAATCTAGACTCATCCTCTCAGGCTCATTCTTTCGGCTTCATTTATATGCTGATTTCTCCAAGATGTGTATCTTGAGCCTAGAACTCTCTCTTGACCTGCTGATTCATAAATCCAACAATGCTGAGGTCAGTGGATTTCAGCCACAGCACCCTGGTGTGCCATGAAAATTTTAAAGATCATTAATTAAATTAGTTTCAAAAGAAGTTCAAAGCACAGTAAGTATTCTTTTTACTTTTTTATTTGATTAACATAATTTAAAGGTGCCATGAAAGTCTTAACTATAGGCTCAAATGTGCCCTGAGATTAAAAAGGTTGAAAAGCACTGGCTTAGGTGTCTAACTGGAATCTCCTCTTAACATGTCCAAAATTCCTGATTGTCCCCCCTAAGTTAGCTCCCCCAACGCTCTTCTACATCTCAGTAAAGGGCAATTCCTCCCCCTAGATGTTCAGGTCAAATTTCTCAAAGTCATTCTTGACTCTGCTCCTTATCCCGCACACGACATCCTGTCCATTGGCAAATCCTAGTGATTCTGCCTTCAGAGTATCCACAGAATCCGACCTCTCCTCACTGCCTGCACCAGCACCACAGTGCAGGGCCAGAGTGACCCTACCCCATCTTCCTGCCTCTACCCAGGACCAATCAAGTTTCAACTAGAGATCCTTATAGGACAGGAGGGGGAGGGTAAATGGAGAGACTACAACTATGGTGTACATTTCAAGGGTACATGTCTAATCTATTAAGTATACACTATAAATGTCTTAACACAATAATTAAGTAAATGAGGTGAAGGATATATTAACCAGTTTGATGTAAGCATTCCAAATTGTATATAAAATCAGCACACTGTACCCCATGAATGCATTAAAGTATACATGATCTACGTGGTTATGACTTAATAAAAATAAAATAAAATTGTAATATACAGTATGTACCAATGACAAAAGATGAATACAGGTCACGTTGAACCCCTCTTATAGTAATAGAAGTGAAATGTAAAAAAATAAATAAAAATAAAAATAAAAATCTAAGTCAGCCCATGTGAAGCCTCTACTCAGAACCTTTGCAGGCTTCTGTCTCTATCAGAGGAAAATCCAGATCCTTCCAGTGGCCTGCAAGGCCATACATGACTCCCTAACTGTCTAACTCACACCCCTCTCCCGCTTTGTGCCAGCCACACAGGCCTCCTGCCAGGCTCTTGAGGGCACAATAAAAAAATGAAGTGGTCATGTGTGCCCTCTGTCCGGAATACTCTTCCTCCAGAGAGCCACATGGTTCAATCCCTCACACACATTAGTTCTTTAATCAAATGTCACCATCTGACCTTCCCTGACATTCCTGTTTTAGATTATGACTAATCACCTTATTGTCAGTATCCCCTACACCCCTTCTGTGCTATGTTCTTCTTCATAAGCTTACCTGGCATATTTATTTCACACTTATGATTCTCTCCCCCGACTAGGCAGGAATTTTCTGTCCCTTTAGTTCACTACTGTATGCCCAGTGCCTGGAAGGGTGTCTGGCACATACTCTTGGTGCTAATTTTGAATGAATTAATTTGACCTCCTCTTATCTTACTTTCCTCTGATGTCAGTTTCACTTAAAGAACGTCTGCAGAATAACCTTCATTCTCTCCATTCCTTGTTTTTTTTTTTGAGACAGGCGCCTCAAGCTGTCCCCTTGGGTAGAGTGCCATGGCATCTCAGCTCACAGCAACCTCCAACTCCTGGGCTCAAGCGAGTCTCCTGCCTCAGCCTCCCAAGTAGCTGGGATCACAGGCACCCGCCACAACACCCGACTATTTTTTGGTTGCAGCCATCATTGTTGTTTGGCGGGCCTGGGCTGGATTCGAACCCAGCGGGCCTGGGCTGGATTCGAACCTGCCACCTTGGGTGTATGTGGCAGGCGCCTTAGCCACTTGAGCCACAGGCACCGAGCTGTTTCCTTAATATCACAATAAAAATGCCGTCTTGTAGAAAGTAAATCCCTCATTGTTCATTCTTCTAAAACAATTCAGAAATGTTGGTATTGTCTTAAAGCAGTTGTATATGAACAAACATCATTATTATGGCTTCTCTTAACTAATATTATTAGGGGGGGTTGTTTTTTGTTTGTTTGTTTGTTTTTCAGATTTAAAGGTAGCAAGAAAGAGGACATTCTGGGAGTCTCATATAATAGGTTGATTAGAATCGATGCAGCCACTGGGATTCCAATTACAACATGGAGATTCACAAACATGAAACAGTGGAATGTCAACTGGGAAATCCGGCAGGTAAAGTGAAAGTTTTTGGTATTTAGTATGGAGTCTATACATGTGTGTTCTCTCAGAATTGCAGTTTACTCTGATTTTAAAAAACGTGTTCTCAGCTAGGCATGGTGGCTCACCTCTACAATCTTAGCACTCTTGGAGGCCAAGGCAGGTGGATCACTTAAGCTCAGGAGTTCAAGACCAGCCTGAGCAAGATTGAGACCCTGTCTCTACTAAAAGAATAGAGAAACTAGCCAGGTGCCTATAGTCTCAGATATTCAGGAGACTGAGGCAGAAGGATTGCTTGAACCCAGCAGTTTAAGGTTGCTGTGAGCTAGGTTGCACCACAGCATTCTACTCTGGTCAACAGAGTGAGACTCTGTCTCAAAAAAAAAAAAAAAAACCCAAGCACTTAGTAATTATCTGGTGAAATAATCACATGCAATGCAATTATGAGCAGTTTCCTAACCAGCACAGGCCAAATGTCCTTGACTTAATACTACAAGTTGGCTTTCTCTCCATGCAAGGATTATGTAAGAGTTAGGTTGATGATTGCTTAGTGCAGCAGTTCTTAACCTGTGGGTGGCGACCCACAGGAACCTATTAAAGGGTTGCAGCATTGGGAAGGTTGAGAATCACTGGCTTAGCGGAAACTACCTGAGCTGTAACTGCTGTGCAAAATATAAATCAAAAAAAGGGCTCATCTGACTGGCTGCCAAAGGATCTAAGAGATTGAGGGCTCAGAAACTCAGCTGCCCAACTGAGGAGCACTGCAGCCCCAAAAGGGAAAATCTTCTGGAGGAGCAAGGTGCACAGAGATGACTGAGAACAGTGTGGCCTCCAGAGCCGAGGAGGCTCAAACCCATAGCCTGTGTTTCAGTTTCCCATTACATCCCATCCTAGGAACAAGCCTGTGTCATGCAAAACTAAGTCTTCTTTCCTTCTTTTTTCATTTGCAATTTTTGTCCAGGGCTGGGTTTGAACCTCCTACCTCCAGTATATGGGGCCAGCGCCATACTCCTTGAGCCACAGGTGCCACCCCCAATCTAAGTCTTTTTTCTAGAGCTTAGAGCAGCAGTTCTCAATATGTGGGTTGCGACCCACAGGAACTGTATTAAAGGGCCGCGGCATTAGAAAGGTTGAGAACCTTAGGCTGAGAACACTGTCTTAGAGTTTATGACATTCTGCTGGCTGTAGGGAAATTGAGGCAAACCATTTATTCTCCATTAATGAATCGACACGAGAGTGCTTGGGAAATTGTTTTATCTAAACGACAGAATATAGTTTGTGTGTGCAGTAGAGTTGACTCCTACCCTACCCCACCCCACCCCACCCCACCCTATCCTATCCTATCCTATCCTATCCTATCCTGTCCTGTCCTATCCTATAACTAACTATAATATAGTTTGGGTGTGCGGTAGAGTTGACACCACAAGGGGGCGCAGAGAGAACAAAGACGTGTTTGGGGAGGCGTTTAATTGGGAGCGGTGGTTTTCTGAGGTCTTGGGGGCGGTCCTCTGTGAGTCACCTCAGCCGTCCCCCACTCCAGAGGCCCCTTCAGCGGAGCAGTTTCCTTCTCATTACTGTATGTCGGGGTTTAAGCTGATCCACGCCTTCCTCTTCCAGGTGGCGATCGAGTTTGACCAGAACGTCTCCATCGCATTCACCTGCCTGAGCGCGGATTGCAAGGTGGTGCACGAGTACATTGGCGGCTACATTTTCTTGTCCACCCGCTCCAAGGACCAGAATGAAACCCTCGATGAGGACCTGTTCCACAAATTGACCGGCGGTCAGGACTGAAGCGGGGACACCCTCTGGGCCTGCACAGACAGACGAGCCAAAGGCTTTGGGTCCTCCCTAGACGGACAGGCCCTCCCTAGACGGACAGGACCCAGGGCTGGGCTTACCCAGCGTGTAGACGCCAGACCGACGAACAACATATATTCGCTCAGATCATCCTCCCCATCTCAAATACTCGGCTAGCACGTCCCGTTCCTTACTTTGCCCCGTGCTATTAATTGTGGAAGGGGCCTCACTTGCCTTTTCTACAAAATGGGCAGGAGAGGGAGCGGTACTCCAAGATTGCTCCGGGTAGGGCCCAGCCTGTAGGTCCTGTTCAGTGACTTGCAGAACAGGCCAAGTGCGTGGCTGGACGTTGTCCTGGTGCATATCTGTCTCAGGGCTAAGTCAGTCCAGAAGACAGATCAATATCACACGTAGCAAGTACAAATCTTATCCCTCAAACTCAGGTATGAAAAAAATCTTAATATGTCTTTCCTTAATGAAACTCCCTTAGCTCCTATCTTATGAAAATGGCAGAGGGCTCCCCCAAACTCACACTTTTTCCCTGGAGGGCAGATTGAGGAGCAGAGCTACTTGGTAGCAATTGGTGACAAGGTGTCAGGGAAGGGTCCCTCAGTGCCCTCCGTCCACAGTGACATCTGCTAAAGGGACCACTGACCTGTCTGGTCTTGGTCATTGGTCCTCTCAGGTCGCTGTTGCCAACCACAGTCCCATTCCATTCCGGGGGATCCCTTGGCCACCTTAAGTCCTTCTTGAAGGTGTGGGTGACACAGGGGTGCAGGGAAACCTGTTCGTCGGCCCAGATCCCTGTCTCAGCTGCTCCTGCTCTGGGGTGGGGCTCAGGGAAACAGATGCCGTTCTCTGTGTTCATAAAAAACACTTCCCAGCATCAAGGAATCCAGGTTGGTCTCCATCCCAACTGGTCAGGAAGGGCTACCATGTTCACGGTCTGACAGCTGCCCACTGGCTGCCACGGGAGGGCCTCTAGCTGGTCTAGGTGGTGGGGAAGCATTCCTCTTGCCACGAGCCAGTGTTCTCCAGGATTTGGTGTCTACGGTTATTGGTTCCCGGCCTTCCCCCTAGAGGCCATTGGCTTTTGTCAATCACAAGCTGATAACAAACTCTTTTTCCTCTGCTTTTCTGCTGTGTCATTCTTGCCTTGAGACATAATCTTCACAGCTGCTTGTCATTTTCTGTTTGGGTTTGTTAGCCATGCAGGGGGTGGGTTTTGAGAAGGTGGAAAGCAATACCAGAGGTAAAGGAAACTATCAGATGATGCTTTATTATGCTTTTTATAAATGTTCTCTTGCCACACAGAAAACTTGGGGGTGCAAGAATATGGAGCAAAGACTCCAGCTCCAATCTGCATTTCTCTTAGGGCGCATTTTCGTGAGGCCCATTTTCATGCCTGCAAGCCATCAGCTGTTGATTTTTTTTTTTTCAACAAAGCCATCTAGAAGTGAGATCTCAGCAATTCCGGGAGCCACAGAGCGACAGCCTTGGCTAGGAATTCCTTGGTCCTGAGCCAGAAGCTGCCATCTGGAAATTCCTCTTTTAGCCTCTCTGTAGAGGTAAATGTTGATGAAGCCGCCCAGGCACCAGCTGAATTTCTGAAGCCTACTTAAGGTGGCTGAGGCCCTTGGAAAATCACGTTCACATCATAAAGAACTTAATTTGAAGTGGCTTATGTACAAAACCATACTCAGTGTACTGTTTTAAAGTTGGTATTAGTCATTTCTTTGTAATCCTGGGTTCTGTTATTTAAGATGCTAGTCAAGTTTTCAAGATTTCAAAAAGCCCTACATAAAATAATGTTCCTTGTCAGACGTTAGCTGTCTGCTGCCAAGGACAATGCTCCCTAATTGACCAAAGTCAGACCTTCAGTCCAGTCCTCTTCCTTAGCTTTTCATGTCTGACATTTCCATGAAAACGCTGAAAGGAATTGACTGGTTTTAACCAAACTTTCTCTGTTGGTTACAACTGTCAGGGGAACATTCCTTCTGCAACTACGGAAGCAGCATCCCAGAGGAATAAACAGGTATCACAAGAAAACCTTAAATGTTGCTATTTCAAAGCAAAGCAACCTTCAGGACACTTTTCTTTTTACTTGGGTACAAAAGGTCATCTGACTTCCTATGATGAAATAGTAAATGAATATATCCCTTTCAACATCCATTGATTTCTTAGCTACACTTGATGCAGAAATCTGCGTTTTTTATTATCTTATATGACCTTTTTTTAAGTAAAAAGTTTGTATGGATTTGAGTGTGGTCCAGTGTGTCCTTTCCAGAAAGGTAACTATTTTCTCAGTTATAGAAAAGGAATGCAACTCCCGGGTCTGACGCACACCTCTCTGCACACTGCCAAGATTCCAGCAATTCTCCTGGGTGCTGTGGTGAGCAGCTGACCATGTGGCTTGTCAGAGGTCAACTCAGAAACCTCACTTAACTGTTGGTTCCAATTCCTTTCTCACTGACTCTGTCACCCACTTTCCTGCCCTCTCCTGCCTTATCCAGAGCTCTGTTGTCTTTTCAAACAGAACACCAGAGAGCAAAAAAGTGTCCAGAGGCTGCAGAACAGATGAAGGCCTCTGACTGATGGCTGGGTGTCGAGGGTACTTCGTTTTCAGTGATACGGGGTCCCCAACCATGGTGGCACGCATGTGGACATCCCTTTGTGTGCAATTCTCCCATCGGCCCACAGAGGGCAGGAACGGTTTGCTTTCTAATTTCACAAAGAGGAAAGCAGGCTCAGAACATGAAGTAACTTGCCCAGGGTCCAGCGTCCAAAACCACATTTGCCTTAACTCCGGAAACCACTAAGCTTAGCCCAGCAAACCCCACCCTTCCTTCCCCAGCCCCGCTCAGCCTTGAAATGCCCACCTCGGCCCCAGTGCAGGCTTCCCCTGAGCTATGTCCCAACATCAGGCTCACACCCAGGCATCAGGCAGAGTGGCCGGCCACTCGGGAGTTAGCTGGGGAAGACCGGGTGGACCTAAGGTACCTGGGAGCCGAGGAAATGAGGCGCTTTGAGAGCATTTTATTTTTAATTCTGGGAAAATTTTCATTGTAAGTCTTTACATTAGAAACAGAAGAAAATGAGGAATCTTTCATTTGAAAATTCATCTTTCGGGCTCGGTGCCCATAGCACAGTGGTTATGGCACCAGCCACATACCCAAGGGTAGCGGGTTCGAGCCCAGCCCAGACCAGCTAAACAACTGCAATAAAAAAATAGCCGGGCGTTGTGGCGGGCGCTGTAGTCCCAGCTACTTGGGAGGCTGAGGCAAGAGAATCGCTTAAGCCCAAGAGCTGGAGGTTGCTACGAGCTGTGATGCCAGGACACTCTACTGACAGTGACAGTGTGAGACTCTGTCTCAAAAAGAAAAGAAAATTCATCACTTAGTTGTAGGTGCTAGAGGTCAAGACGTTTTGTAGTATCTATTTTCTGACATCACTGAATAGTTTTTAATTCCCGTGTAAGATTTCTGATTTGCTTCTGCAGTCAGTAGTTTTACCTTCCTGTTCTTAATTCCCGGACACAAGCACAACTCCCTGCCTCCTGCCCCCGCCACCCCCTCAAGTACTCAGAATCTCTCAGGGGTTGGGAAGCAGACACGCATCCTTATTTGCCACTTCACCCCTCCCCCCATCATTCCACAGAGGACTCTTGAGTCCTGGAAATCATGGATGGAAAATCTGAAGGTCAGCACTCGGCCCTTGCTGTTGATTAAGTTTTTCCATTTCCTTGTGCCTCACTGAGGCCCTGAGGATAAATGTTGATTGGTAATAAAAAAGACAAGCCAGTCGGTCTCTGCTCTGTCCTCACAAGGCCTGTTCTGGCCACGGACTCCAGCTGTCTTGGAGTGGAGGTCCTCAGGCTGCTTCAGCAGTGCCCCTGACTAATGACTGAGGAAAAGATTCGACTAAACCGAGTTACCTGCTTCCTCTGATTCCCTGGGTGACCTTGAATTCCCCTGTAAGCCTCACTGTCTTCAGCTGTTACAAAGGAAAAATCCTGTAACCCTTCTTCAACCAGTGCAAATGACAAATGCTTTCCGGGAACTTAACAGGGTATAGTTTCTCCTCTTTATCCCTGGCAGTTGGGAGATGTAAGGCATTTGGCTGCTCCCCGAGATCACAGGGGTGCAAAAGTGGACCCTGGGAGGGAGCAGAACCCTTTGTGAGTGGAGCAGAGGGCCTAGTTACAGGTTCATTATAGCTGCCTAGTTTCAAGTTTATTTTCATTATATTTTTTAAAATGAATAAATGTATTTGAATTATCGTTAGGTGGGTTTTCTGAAACTTGCAGCTGAATGCATTCTCCACTGAGTGTGAAGGTCAGTGAATTTGTAGAGTAATGGAGCAGAGAGCCAACCTGATCCTTCAATTTCTAGCTTGACTAACTGGGTGAATGGAAACCAAGTTGTTAGACAAATATACAAAATATAAAAAGGACAGAGGTTGAGAACACGCTCATGTGTGGACACATACATTTCTTCATTCAACAAAATGCCATTGAGCATCCACACTGCGCCTACAAGTTGCTGCAGCTACAAGGAATAAATACCACTCAAGCTCCAGGAGATTCCAAATCATCGCTTTGTTTCTGCAACGCAAGCATTTTTAAAAAAATTTTTTTCTCTCTTAACATAGTAGAAGTCTAAATAAACCTATAGGCAAACCCTGACTTCTGTTTGATAGAAAATCCCAAATAAAGAAATATAACGGATGAGAACAGAAGAAGGGCAGGGCAGAGTTCCACTCATTCATCCAGCAAATCTCTCCTAAGCACACCCTGTGTGCAGGCACCTCCAGATGCTGAGGCTGTAGCAGTGAGCAAGCTCGACGCATTCCCCAAACGAGCAGAGCTCACACTTCTGCCCTTTGTGACTTGGCAGAGAGCTCACACCACACGTGACTGTTCTGTCTTCCCCCCTTTCTAGAGTGGGAACTGCTGGAGGGCAAGTGGTTGTTTCTAAGACCCCATTTTATACTCT